GTTTCTTCAGCTTAACCTGATATGCCTCAGGTCTACCTACCGTGTCTACGTAGAGTTCTGCGATATTTGCACCTCGCTCGATCACTAATTGCGTTAGTTCAATCGCGGATTTCATAGAGACATCATTCAGAGAAAATTTAACACGCCGGTACATGCTATTCGCGATGGTATTGGGGGATATGACTTCTACTGCCCAACCTATTTTCTTGCGGTGTTCACAAATTTTATTAAAAACTTTGTCTCTATGTTCCTCCGTCAAAGTCTTGGAGTCTACACAGCCCAGGTCCACGGGAAGCTGCTTTTCTGACAAGGGTACGTAGGCAATTCCATATATCATAGGCCCTAGGATTGGTCCACGTCCAGCCTCATCGATACCAAGCTGACACGGTTCATCCTTGCATATTTGTGGTATCTAGGGGAAAGAATTCAAATGACATGTTTGAAAACTGAATCTACAAAGGAACATTTATTACAATGTATTACTAAAAGAATTAATTAAATATATTAGTTATTTATTTGTAAGAAATTTATCTTCTATTCTTATATTATAAGACACACACATATATATGTACATAGTTATCAAACTGCTCTTTTCCAATTACATTTGTGAGATTTTACAAAATTTCATTGCTCTTACAAGCTTCAGATTTCTTTAATAAGTGATTCTACAATCTTATGTTTACAAAAAAACAACTGGAAGTCAAATAATGTCAAAACAGTCGCTGTTTTAAATAGTGTTTGTTATACTTTTTTCAATTATTAACAGACTCAAGTCAAGATAATGGTGACATTCATTCATAGTTTTGCTAACCTCAAAATAACCTATACACTACAGCAATCTCATGGGAATAACAACTGAAGTAAACGATAAAAAAAAACAAAAGATTTCGCTCTGAAGATAAATAAAATACATTCTTATTTTTCATATATACATACGTCTGATGTGTAAACTTTATTGACGTCATGGTCCCAGTTTTTGAAAAACGAAGCTAGATCTTCCTTCGAGGTAATGTTAATATCTGTCTCGTGAATTTTCACGTAATTTTCTTCCGGTCTCGTTTCCTTAATTTCGTCCATCGTTTTCCTCTCGTTCCTTGTAACGTTCACGCGTTTTTTCTTTGACCTAACCTTAAAATCAAATGCTAGTATTCAGACTAACCGCCAAAAACTGTAAACACAAGTATCGATAGGTCGAGTATTGAAGCGTGACGAACGATCTTCTGTTGATAATGAGCATCATACTTTGAAATTGCAACCGAATAGTCAGCGAAATCGGGAAATTTACGTCTGATCCGGGGCAATCCGCAAACGTTTGGTCGAATATTTCGACAAGGAGGGAGAAAGGAACGAAAAAGCAAAGATATCGACGGCACGCGTATATCGATAAAAAATCGTCCAGTATCGACCTCTATATTTGCACGTTAAGGGGTTTCTGACTACCTGTGTGCATGTGTGCCCGTGTCCTCGGTAGAAATAGTTGATGACGCCGTGTGTTAGTAATATCGTGTGTCGCAAAATATAACCTCACAATAAAATGCTCGAATCCCTATCGGTGTTGTTAAAGGTATTGCTCTTGAGAAGAATTTGATTTTACTCAGTCGCATTAGCTTAAGGGACGCCCCGGCGTGCACGTTACACCATGAAAGTGATCGTGAAGAAGCTTCAAGGGAAAGAATGTGTTGTTGACGTGAGTAATCAGCAGTTTGATTTTCCTCTTTTCCTTTTTTCTTTTTCTCTTCTCGCTTCTCTATTTACAACGAGAAACGTCGCGCGATATACGATATTTCGCCGTTGGCGACGTTCAAAAAATTTCTCCAAACTGTATTCACAATTCATTTTTGAGAACATTTATTTTTCACGTGTTTTATTATTTACTTGTAAAATAGCTATAACATTGTAATTACTTTTGTTACGCA